ATGTTTTCCTTCACCACCGAACACGTGGTAAACTCGGGTCTGATTACAATGTAATTTAAAGTGAGCTTTATACGTAGTAGAGCCACGCTGCAGTTATATTATGGTCGTATGTAGCACGAATGGGTCGGCTCGACCGGGGCAGGACTACGCTCTCACAGAATACCAGCGTAAAATAGCAGCTTAATAGTGTTTCGTATAATGAATGTAGAGAATTGGAGACCCTTTTTTACTGTAAATGAGGGATTCCATCTTAGTTATCCCTATCATTGATTTACGGACTGATCTCTCTTCCATTCACGACTATTTTGGCTGGTGTAAACGGACTTTAAACTTTAAGTTTTCTGCTGTGAAGATTTGGATTAGTTTTTTGTGCCCGAATATCTCGATGAGTTTTATTTTATTTTCCCAATATGCTAAGAACTAACTTAAAGTACTTTTATAAATAAAAAAAGAAATAAGGGATTCGTTCAGAAAAATTAAAAACATTTATCAAATAAGATAAATTTTAAGCGAGCGAAGCCACCAGTAGCCAGTAACGCATAAGCAAGCAATAATTATTTAGGGATCTTTTTACTAACTCAAAACGAAATTTTAGTAGTGAGTATCACACAGTAATTATTGCTAAAGGGATCACTACTAGAAAACTTATCTCAATTTATAAAAAAAAGTATTGTTGCTGACTGTTCCTACAAAAAGTATTTAGAAGTATTTTTCTATATACTTTACAATATTACAAAGTATTACTTGCATAAAGCCGCAAATTATTTTTATAATAAAGAATTTCAAAGTATAGAAATGAATTAAATATTTATTTGTGTCAGAAGAAAAACATTTGGTTATAACAAATCATAAAATCGTGCTTTCCATAAGGCTTATCCATATTAATACAACGTGAATAAATCACCCTAAATTGCATTATCTATTCCGATCACTGGTCATTACAGTATATTTTCATAGTTTATCAATATTTATTATTAAACATACTGGGCCTGGACCCATACCATTTACAACGTGTTCCAGTGCCTCATCACAGGGCAATCTTGCCTTCCATAAATGAAAGCTAGGAAGCCGTTAGTGCTGTCTCGCACGCAACGCATCAGGGAGGCTTATTCTTTTGCGTACTGTTATCGCAAAGCTGTCACCGCGTACCTCAGCAAACATACGTGATTCGCTGCAAAAGCGTAGCAGCCTGACTGAATACGTAGCGCACTGAAAGTTCGGCATGTACACTTAGTCCACAGGCCACTAGAGTAGATTGTGTGACAGTAATAATGCTATAGAATTTTTTTTCTATGAACCACCTATAAATATGGTTTTTATTTTGACTGATACTATTAGTTTTGCTATAGTTTTTCGACTGAAAGACTGTATCCATGATTGTGTAATAAATTAAGAAAAAAATGTAATTTATTTCTTAATTTATTACACACAATCACTCACAATCACAAAACACACACATACAATCCAATACCAAAGAAAAAAAATTATTTCTTTGGTATTGGATTTTTCGGATGTGTTTTTGCCATTGCCAAATAACATAATATTATCGTTTCTAATTTGTTCATAAACTTCTACACAACATGTTGATGCATCACATTGAGGAGTTTTTGGTTGATTTCTACGACAGCTTATGTCAATTTTTAAGGCACTAAAGCGGTAAAAATAGCTTGAGGTTTATATCAATATCAACGTACTTCTTTGTCGTTCCATTAACAATACATACGCGCAGACATACTACACAAAATCTTATCATTTTTACGTATCGACATATCAAAATCAACTTCAAACCATTATTCAATCATTAAAACAGGAACAATAATCCGCTAGCAGTCAAACTCTTGTTAAAACTCCGTTTGGAATCTAATTATACAATTTTAGTGCCACCATGAAGCTTTCAATAGATATTCCTGATATATAGTTATTTCTTCTTGTTCATGCTTGAGCCACGCTGCAGCTTTGTTATGGCTGTAACAAGAAAGGGTCAGCTCAACACACAGAATACGAGCGTAAAATAGCGGCTTAATTCTACTGTGTTTCGTATGGTGAGTATAGAGAACCGGAAAACACTTTTTTTTGAAAACGAATCATTTCATCTTTTCGTCCGTATATATATAATATAAAGTAAATATTATTATGTTTTGTTCTATTTATTAATAATTTACAGTACACTAATACACAAACATACATAAACATATTATGATTCACTGTCTCGAGCGCACCGCGTCACGTCAGTTGCACGAGAAGTTCGAGCGAGAGTGGACGTGTTTTACTTAAGTATGTGCCGAGAATATGTTACACTACAACGATAAGACAAAATAGCAGAAAATACACCCAGGGGCGGACCGTCAATTTGTGGGCTCTGGGCTAACACTAGTTGGGGTCCTACCAAATTAATCAAACTAATCAAGTCAAAAATCTGTTTTCTGTTATGATTAATTATACGGTCTGGAAAAAATTATATAACTTTGATACGTAAGATATTATTGCGTAAGATATTAACAGGTTATGTGTAGTTATGTTAAATAAATTATGAAGAATTTCTAGAGTTTTGCGCTGCAAATTCCTTTATTTGCTTATCACATTGTCAATCCTTTGTTAAATCACAATTTATGGAAAGGATTGATAAATTATTTAGTTGATTGTTTATCATTGTTTACCTACATTTGTTTTCTTTATATGAAATTCTAGAAGATGACAGTAAAGTAATTTGGGAAAACATCAACCAGTGGCGAAGCTTCCATTAAAGCCGAAAAGCCGGGCTTGCCTTATTAAACCTGAATCAATCAATAATATCAATCAATAATATCATCTAATAAAATAACTCGTAAAATGTTTCAAGTTATTTCAAATTTCAATATGGCAGGATTGAAAGATGACCTTATCACAAAAATTAATCGGGGCGTACTCCAATGGCTTGGGCACGTTGAGCGAATGAGTGAAGACCAAATGGTGAAGAAAATATATAGAGCGAAAGTAAATATTAAAAGGTGTCGAGGTAGACCGAGACTAACTTTCGAAGACCATGTGAGCAAATTGCTCGAAGAGGGGAAGGTCAAGAGTACTCGGATACCAAGACGTGCATGTATGAAGAAGTTAATGAACCTGAAAGAAGCGACAGAGGTATGTAAGGAACGTGACACTTGGACGATCTTGTTCTCTCTGGCTACCCCGTTAGGAATTGTGCGTGAAGATAAGTTTAAGTTTTTTAAGTTTTTCAAATTTCCCGCGCCCTCCACTGTTCGACACATGTCGACCGATGACCTCTTATTGCCTTAGCGATACTGCTGCTGTCATAAAAAATTTGTTTTAATAGAGCTAATAGTTGTCTCCCTCGCTCGCGTGGGCTTTTTACGGGGCTTTCGAGAAGACGATCGCTCTCTTTCTATGGCAAAATATTCTATAATGAAATATGACTACGATTGTATATATAGAAATTAGTATAGAGATTTAAAGCCAGGCTTTTGGGAATAAATTTCACGTTCACCAACATTTTACGTGGACGTAATTAAATCTTTCCATAAGAAAGCGAGACGATTCCACTTATCTTATCTTATATCTTATCCATTAGAATGTAAATAATTTTTTTTTCTTTAATTTTGTACATAGTTTGTACTTTGTTCGTGTTTTACTTTTGTTCATGTATTGTATTGGATGTAAATATTTTTTTTCTTTTGCTTAAACAAACCCAAACGGCTTTCTTCAAAGCCACCGAAGCTATGCAATTGCTGATATGTAATACAATCTATCTAGCAGTGGTATGCCTTCTGTGTGCTTTGTTAAACACGTCCTTGACAGTACCGAATATGAAACTGAAGCGTGGAGACAGATCAAGATTAGCGTATTTTTATAAAACTGCTAAAAACAACAATCTATATTTTTATCAATTTATATATTGGGCTTGCCCTAGCTTGGAGCTCTAGCTTCGCCACTGACATCAACAAGTTTTTTTTTTCATTGATTAGCATAAACATTTCACTGCAAGAGTGCAAGAATCTAGCTTAGTTTTTAGTAAGATTTTAACCGAATTCCCTTATTGAATTTCTTACTATATGCCTCACAGACTTGACATTTTCTAGTTAAATCCAAAACAGCTTATTCAACACAACGTTTCACGTGTCTCTTTAAAATTTTTGACTCTTTTGACTTTGAATGAAAATTCTGCATGTCTTTTATTTATGTCAGTACCACTCTAGTATTTAAGTTTTAAGCTTTCTCCTCGTGTATCTTTAATTTTTTATTCGATTGATGTCGTATGTTACTCACGAACTCTTTTGATGCCATAATTAACTTTTTGCCTTTACAAACATCCTCTTTAAAATTTTCTTCAAAAAAAAAATAGTATCGGGCTTAGCCACATTTTAAATTTCGTGGCTCTTTTTGGAAATTAACTATCTCATCCTCATTTCTACTAAAACTCATGAAATTTTCGTAATATTATCATAATTGTTTTTAAAGCTTTGACAGCTAGTCTTCACTGGGGGCTGGGGGCCCTTTATATCCACGGGGCCCTGGGCTGCAGCCCAAAAAGCCTATATATTGATCCGCCCCTGAATACACCATCTTAATCCTCAGTGGTGACAACGCTTCTGCATTTTGATTCTTAATCGAGTAATGAGATAATAGGCATCAGCATTCACTCATTACCATCAGGTAGACTGTGTTCTAGTTTGTCACCCTCATTCCATTAAATAAAAACTAGATATGCTCATCCACTTTTATAGGGTTAATGTGCTTTAATCGTCACACTTAGCAGACAGATTAACGATCGCATTACCAGACTTGAGCACCGTAGACGTTGCTACCTCTGGATATTTTACGTTTGGTGTAAACGACTATACCGCCATCTTTCGGAAGCCATAAGATTTTTCGGGCATCTCTCATAGTCGCCTCTTACGACACTCATGGGCCGAAATGGGTTTATGGATTCTCTTCTACACCACACGTCGAGCTACACTCTTTGAGAATTTCAAATCTAACCGCGTTTCGATTTCTGTTCACTTCTACATTCCCACGTTCTGCGTGTCCATTAATTCGACAACTTTGTCCACTATCGCCATGTTGTGAACTCTCTTTCTATGCTTGTATAAAGACGCTTTATACTTGAACGTCATCTGGCATATGCCACAGGGCCGTGGCTTTGCGCCGGAGTGGGTAATCTTTTGCTGAATCCAGGTCTTCCTGTCCTGAAATATAATAATAATAAATAATTTTATTTCATTTCCAATTACACATGTTTACACACATGAACAAGTATGATTACAATGAAATACAGTTAAAACTATGTGTACCATAATAATGTAGTACCTGGATGACCGAGCTTTGCTCGGTTTTTTTTTTTGAAATTACATTTAGATACAATTTACATAGTGATGAAACATGAATAATATTTTTGGATCTTATTGACATAATGGAAAAAACTGATCTGGTTATTTGAATAAAAAATCATGAGTGCAATTAGTTTAATTAAAATTTTTAAAAAATACTAAAAAAAGGGCTTGCAATAATAGATTTTCTCACAAAAGAAGGGAACTTGAAAAAAAAAAGGAAAAAAGTCGGACCAAAGACAGGACGTGAACCTAGGCATTACGATTTCGCGATCGCTCGATATCCACTTGAGCTATTGTGATCATTAACACTACATATACATATATATTCCATTAATTTCGACAATGCTTAGTACCAGTGTTACTACACTCACAGCGAAAGCGTTCCCGCATTGCTCATAGACCTGGGTCGTTGGCTTCTCTGTCTTCACCCCGTGAATTCTCGTCATGTGCTTTTCTACCCAGGCTTTGGTTACCATTACCTGAGGGAATGACATGGCTATTATTCAGTGTTTTTTTTTAAAACAAAAATTACACCCAAACACATTACCTACGGAACGATATACTTATATATTTTTATTTTAAAGTTACTAATATCTTAATGTAACTACAGTTAACAAGTACCTTGTTGCAGATGGGGCATTTGTACGACTTTTTACCTAGGTGGTGGTAATTAAAGTGGTCCCGCGTCGCCTTTTTGGTCGGGTAACTCTTCTTGCACATCGAACACTGGAATCTGGGAGATAACGTGTGATATAAACTCTGACCACTTGACATGGGTAATTTAGTTCGCGAAGAATGAATGATTATTTTATTTCATAATATAAACTTATCATTTGTTTACTACTCATTCAACTAACTGTATTTCTACTTCATTTAGTAATAGTCTAAAGAAAAATAGAGTCTAAAGTCTAAAATAAAAAAGTAGTAGTCTAAAGAATATACCCTTAATAGAGAAGAAAGAGAAAAGGAAATAAGATAGTATAATCGTCCAACAGTCAATAACACTGTCATGAGTGGTGGGTGAATATGACTGCTTCGTTGATCTAAAGGTCGTTAGTGCGACTGTTAATCATGAGGTCCAGACTTCGAATCCCGAGTCGGGGCACACAAATCAGTTATTGGATTTACCGACAAGAAATTATCAGTAGCAGCCCGGCACGTAAAGCCGTTGGTCCTGTGCTGAACCCTCTGGTCGTGTCTGATTGCCGTCCCAGCAGATTAAGAGAGTGAGGGAATAGAGTGCACCTGTGCTTGCGCTCACACTCGTTATCTCTAATCCTGTTCTGGCAGATGGCTAGTTTCTGTTAAGATTGGCCACTGTGACCGAAATTCGGTTTAGAGGACATTATTTTTGATAGTCATGTTTCATTTTGTGAACATTATCTCCTAAGGACCGTTTTTAGGATTTTTACATTTTATGAATAGCTACAGCGGAGAGAAGGACTAACAGCTTTATGTGCTTTCCGAGACGAGGTGGTGAAACACCGACAACTTCCTTACCGCGCTTACGACCAAGACCAACTAGGCTGTTTCTTGTCTGTTCTTCAAGGCACAGTTATTTTTTCCGAATCAGTAGTAAAATAAACATAAAATAACTGTAAATAAATATTATTTATAGTATATATAAAATAAAAAATCTAACGCCACAAAACACGGTCCTGAGCCACTTGCATCCATCGACTTCTTGCATGTCCTACCAGGTCGTCTCGATCCAGTCTTTCCTTACTCTCCACTTATTTCTATGGCAATGTAACAGTGTATTCACAGTTGTGATTTATTCTGATAGACTGGACTACTAACGCCAAACGCCTAAAGTCAGTCATTTGACAGCTCTGAGTTCGGTAGAGAAATAAATTAAGCTAATAATAATTGTGACCATTATTCCACAAGTTGGTAAGTGGTGATGTCGCCGTAGATGGTAAATTACACTATCTTATCCTAACAAAATCCTATTCACTTTTGCCTTAAATACACAAACCGTAATCGAATGAAAAGACAAAAGCCGGAATATTATATCATAGCCGGTACTCCATTTCTTTGCTTTACGCATTTGAAAGATGCAGGAAACCGTTCGGTTCTAATGCGCCGAATATCGATAACAGAGGAATGGAGACCCGCTGACCGATAGTGAAAAGGGGAAGGTAGAAATTTAAATCATGGTCCTCCGAGCCAGATGAACCTTCAAACCAAAATCTGATACAAACTCACTTGTATTCGTGGTCAGAAGGGTGCGCACTGGTGTATTTGAGATGGGCCTTGTATGTGGAGATATGCGAGAACACCTTCTTGCAGTCGCGGCACTTTTAACGGCATTTGGTCTGGTGACGCTTTACATGATACTTCAGATCGATAATGCACACCAGTTTCTGGCAGATCGGGCACTTCTTTCGTGGAAGGGTCTTCGAACCTTCATGCATTCTATAATTTTAATAGAATATTTTTATAATTTTAACATTACCCCTGCTGTTAAACTTGCTGTGCCAAATATGAATAGAATAGGATTAAATAACAACTTTATTCTCTAAGCGATTTTTATAACACTGTCGATGTCTGAACATTAGAGTTTAAAAATCTTGAACAACATGAATACATCATAAGCTATGCTGGTCCTAGTCAGATTACTATACGTCAGTCAGAAAATTATTATATTGTCATCGGTTCTTAATACGCTTACAAAATGTCGAATTATTCAGTCGTCCAGGTTTAAAAATTGAGTTAAGAAATTCCATCATTCTCGTTATTACCATCATTCTATATTTTATATTTATTTGGAAACTAAGGTGTAGGGATCCTTTTCTGCCTAAGAGTTTGTCTGCGCGGGTGCCAATCTCCTATATGTTTACATAATACATAAACACTCACGCCTGTCACCCAGAGGGGTAGGCAGAGACTACAGACTTCGATTTAGCACGATCATCTATATACCTACACATACATGCTCGTGGGTTAAGGGTACTACTAATACGGCTTTATCAATATACCGCCAATTTAATCGATAAAATTTCGCCTAGGACGACCCTTTCCTACTCTTCCACTCACTTCTGCAACAAAAATTTGCTTTGTCACTCTTTCCTCATTAATTTTTTCCACATGACCAAACCAATAATCTTATCTATTTCTGTCGCCAAATAGCAGTGCGTGCACTGCAGCGTTTCAGCCTTAAGGTTATTGAGAGCCATTATAATTACAGGCCGTGATGCATTCCATCTAAGTCTAGAGGTGACAACGCACTGTAGTCTTTTGAGTTTGAAATTGGTTGCAGGTGTCCCGGACAACCATAGCCACTTACCATCAGGTAAACTGTAAGTCCGTTTGTCAATGCAGTTTTATAAAAAAAAATGTCAGTTTGACTATTCTTAGTATGCTGTGCGTATAATATTTTTTGGAATAAGAAGATTCTTTCCTTTTTCATACATACATAAACACTCACGCCTCAGTCACTCACAGGGTAAATAAGAAGTGCGAACTTCTATTTGGCACGATTCTAACACACCTTTCTCGCATCCTTTACATCCATATATACAAGAGGCGTTTAATTTCTTCTCAGTATTAGGGTGACTTGGTAATAATGTAGGTTGTTGAAAAAATTCATTAGCTAACAACTAAAAAAAGCATTTTACCGTGTAGATCATACCGTGCTTTAACGTAAACTTTGCAGGTTGGGTATTCATGGTGATTTGCACAGATGGGTAACCTCATACATGAGTAACAGAAGACAATCAGTATTATTGGGTAGTGCTCGTACTGATTTTGTTTTAGTAACATCTGGTATCCCACAAGGCTCAATATTAGAATATTGGGAATATATAACGCCTATTTATTTGACATCGATGATTACTTCTATTATTCAAACTATGTAATGTTCGCAGACGACACAAAAAATCTAAAAATAAAATCGATCGATAACTGTGTTCGAATTCAAAACGATTTAAAAAACCTAGAAAGATATTACAGAAAATACTCCGCATACTTAAGGAGTATTCTCGAATACGCTAATACTATCTGATCTCCAAAAATGCTAAGCATAAGCAGCGAATAGAATCAATTCAAAAACTGATCATTAAATTTATCTTATCAAAAGATAATAACAGTTTTGCTGCATACAATGACGTTTGCAAATTCTACCGTTTAGATACGTTGTATCTCAGACGACTTCAACACGATATGTTTACCTAGGCTGCACTAAAAGTACGGGAATGGAATATTTCCACTGTTCCTGTCGTATTAAAATCATTTTAATTGAAAACTCCTTGGTTTTAAAAATCGAATACCATTTATTTATTTAAAAAAAGATTCTCGGTCTTGTCATAAGGTTTTGTCAAACTTGTTATAGTCGTTGAGAAAATGGAATTGACTCGAAAAAATTCAACAGCGATGATTTATTATGGAATTTCGAAGTGGTTTAACACAAAAACAGTGTGTTGACCGGATGATTTCTGCATTTGGTGATGAAGCCCCATCCAAAACCACAATTTATCGCTGGTTTGCTGAATTTCAACGTAGACGTGTCAAGCTCAGTGATGACCCTCGTCAAGGTCGTCCAAAAACTGCAGTCACCCAAGAAAACGTTGATGCTGTGAGTAAGCTGATTGAGGAAGATCGACATGTGACATACCGCGAAATTCAGGCTACTTTAGACATCGGCATGGAGTCAAATACAAATAATCTTGCATGAACAATTAGGTGTAAAAAAGTTGTTTTCGCGATGGACACCGCATTCGCTCTGTGAAGAGCAAAAAGCGGCTCGCGTTACTTGGTGCGTCAGAACTCTCGAAAGATTCCACGCAGGATCCTCAAATGCTGTATACAACATCGTGTCAAGAGTAGTTAGGTTGTACCAGTTCTGGCGCACTTGTAGAAAGGTTGTACCAGTTCTGGCGCACTGAGTCAGAAGTGGTACAAGTACGACGTCGACTCACGATCCTAAAAAAAAAGGTTTTGGCATGCTCTGATCACGAATCTGCGGTCTATTTTTGCGTAGGATGCACGGTTCCGGAGATGAGCAGATCAATTAACTCTTATCTAATTGATATCCGCTGCGAGCCTCAACCGTCATTAGCGCTCCATTGTCCTTATCTACTTATCTATTGTTGATTGACTACCGTCATTATCTATTATTCGTCAGCGTGTGGGTCGGCTTATGCTATTGTATTGTACTCCTTTGTTCCTGTCTACAACACTAATCTGAATCATCAATAAAACACATTACCTAATTTTGTTAAAATTTTTATTTATGAAATACAAAATCTTATTACTTATTATCTATAAAATAGGAGCGAAACATCTCATCCACTAAAATATCGTTGTACAATGTGTTATCTGTAAATATACTCGTAAAACTATGCATTGAACATCCCTGAAACTTATATAGCAAATACATTAAGCAATATTCGCCACAAACTGAAGTCCACTCATTCTGAATCCTATCAACATTCCAGTTCCATCTTTTACAATTTCTTTTAAAAAACTAGATGATATCGTACAGGTGCCCGTCCGAATGAATCAAAATATTGACCGACGTCATTCGTATCGATATATAAAGCTACCCAATGTGACCCTGGTTTATCATCTGTATCCAAATTGCGTATTATATACGTTGGTACGTGGGTGTACATGGGTAGTTTATTGGCAGCATAAACATTATTTTCTAGAGTGGGGTGAATCTTTTTCAGATGTTGTTGTACATCTAGTGTATCCATAATATTACTGCTATTAGTAGATTATTACAGTACCAATCTACTCAATGACTAATATAGGAATGATCAATTATAGTGATATCTAAATATTAAATTGCTTTCTTTGTGTTATACAAAACGTATTTGAGTCACCAATACACTGAACAAGACACGACAGGAAGGACGTAGGAATGTAGAGATAAGCAACAGAATGTAAGGTAAGCTTGTTGACGCATAAAGATACTATCAATTCTACTGCAGAAATTCTTTAGATTAGAATTATTACTCACTGGTACTATATAAGACCAAGCAACTGCAGTCATGGAGTTAGTGTATGGTCGTTTGACCGCAGTGGATCTATCAATACTACGTTTGTGTTACTTCAACGCATCAAAGGCCACTTACTTTTCTTTCTGTTATTTTCTTACGTGTGTATGATTTAGTGTTAACAAATTATATTTAAATATTATGTGTGTGTATATGGTTAAGCCGTGGTAGCTCAGATGGTTAGCGCAAAATGTAAACTTCATAGTACACGTCCCGGGTTCGATCCCCGCCGGCACCAATTAAATTGTTAATTACAATTTTAAGTGCTGATTTACCACGTGCTCAGCGGTGAAGGAAAACATCGTGAGGAATGCATGTCTGAGAAAATTTCGAAGGCATGTGAAGTTTGCCAACACGCATTGAGGTATCGCAGCGAACATTTCCTAGCCCTAAAACCCTCTCAGAAATGAGAGGAGGCCTATGTTCAGCAGTGGACTTTAATAGGTTGTAACTTTAGCTTTTTTTAACTTTTATGATTAAGTGTTAACAAATTGATATTAACATGATAACTGTGTTGTTGCAGAAATCATTGAGCTTCGATGAAAATACCTATAAACAGTATTACTACTCGCCACTCTCCCCTCAAGAAGAGAGTGATGACATCGTCATTAATAATAACACATGCGATGGTGGAAAAAGAAAATCGCAATCGATTGATCATTTTTTTGAAGCTGAATCAAAAATAAAAAAAGAGGAAGCTGTTATCATCAACCGTAGCACGAGCCGCTAGAGATGGTGTATCATACATTTCTACTAATTCTGACGACGGAGACCAAGCGACGCATCTCATCAAAATTGAAATGTACGATATGAAGAAGCTATCCAAGATTCCAACTACTTATCATTGGAAACATGCTTCCACGAGGATTAAATATTACGTAAAGACTAATAAGGATAGCATCTACGACAACACAAACGCCCTCGTATACAATATTACAAAGACAATAGCAGAAAGTGAAAAAGTTAAAAAATACTTTTTTAACAATGACAGTCATTAGCTGATCATTAGTGAATGTGATTCTGTTTACTTAAATTACAGGAAGACAAGAGCAGAAGAAAGAGATGAGTGTAGCATACGTGTACAGAACACATCATTGAAGAACAAAACTACAACACTGAGTGGAGATGAAAACGAGAATATGCAGTACTCAAGAGCTGAATATCCATTCTTCAGTTCAAAATCTAGCCGGTTGCTCAGTTTAAAAAACTGGCCTCTCGTTATGCGACAGAAACCTGAAGATCTTGCAGAAGCCGGTTTCTTTTATACTGGCCATGCAGACAGGACCAAGTGTTTCCATTGTGGTGGTGGCTTAAAAGATTGGGAAGATGATGATGATCCTTGGCAGCAGCATGTTCAGTGGTTTAGTCAGTGTGCTTATGTAAAATTTAAACTCGAACAGAGTTT